TGGATTTGACGTCCATTGCAATACTTAATTTTTACATAACTTGAGTTGCATTATTTTCTATACTTTACTTTCCACAGGTTAAATAACAACAAAAATTATCTCTACTCTTGATAAATAATATAATATTCATCCTGGTCTTAGGTAAGGTAACCACACGTGACTAATATATATATATATACAGTACACGGAGTCCAATTATCGCTCTCTAAATTTATTCCACACGCCAATTTACGCATGTACGTCTACTACAATATGAGCATTCACATGTACGCTCAGATGTACACATATAAATAGACGTGTGTGTGTGTGTGTGTGTGTGTGTGTGTGTGTGTGTGAGTGCGTGTGAGTGCGTGTGTGTGTGTGTGTGTGTGTTTTATAAGAAATATAGAACAGTAAAGCCAGTACCCATCGACTGCAACACAACACAGCGGTTCTGCTCTATATTGGAAATCACTGTACCAATATATTTTTTTTTTTCACAACAAAACTGCTTCATTTCCAATTCCAGGACAGCTTCCTATTAAAACTTTTTATCAATAGAGATTTATTAGTCTCTGTAAATGACTGACGATCCCATTTACAATATTCTACGAGGCCATTAGTGTTTTATTTGTATACATCCTGTCTATTACTTTCTTATTGACGGACGAATAGCGAGAGTTGGAAGTATCGATCTGGTAACGAGGAAGAGAGAGGCACTGATAATCTTAACTACAAAAGGTTATAAAGCATTAATAACGTCAATCTTATTTTACTGATGTTTTAATTTACCGATGTCTTAATTTACCGATGTCTTAATTTACTGATGTCTTATTTTACCGATGTCTTAATTTACTGATGTCTTAATTTACCGATGTCTTAATTTACCGATGTCTTAATTTAGTGATGTCTTAATTTACTGATGTCTTAATTTGCCGATGTCTTAATTTACCGATGTCTTAATTTACTGATGTCTTAATTTACCGATGCCTTAATTTACTGATGTCTTAATTTACCGATGCCTTAATTTAGTGATGTCTTAATTTACTGATGTTTGTAATTTACTGATGTCTTAAGATGTTAATTTTTGATGTCTTAATTTACCGATGTCTAATTTAGTATCTTAATTTACTGATGTCTTAATTTGCCGATGTCTTAATTTACCGATGTCTTAATTTACTGATGTCTTAATTTACCGATGCCTTAATTTACTGATGTCTTAATTTACCGATGCCTTAATTTAGTGATGTCTTAATTTACTGATGTTTGTAATTCAATAATAACTTTACAGGAAGGCCCAGAGTGAAGAGTTCCAACCAAGATAAAAAAGAAGAAAGATTTTGTTAAATAAAAGATCAGAAAATTACAGACTACTCTACTTATGTCTTAATTATTCCCTAAAACCTTATAAATACGGTTTTTGTTTCCTTAGAATTTTTACTCGTTCAATACCTTAAAATATACTAATAAACATTACACTTCTTCCACACACACTTGGCATGTATGTAAATTAATACACATTATATAAACTCCCTCCCCCCAACATTTCACCTTAAAATAAATTGATAAATATTCTATATTTTCCATACGCTTCATGGTGAATTAAACTGAGAGAAATATTAATGTAAATTACCCGAGGAAAAATATAATCCTCTCTTTGTGAAAAACAGAAGAAAAAACCTGACGACTGCGCATTATGCAAATCCTTTTATAATGTTTCAAATGACGAGTAATTTTTCTCTTCCTCGACTTTTTACAATTGTTGATGTTTTGCCATTAGTGGTATTATCTTTCACTTTTTGTATTACTAAGTTGTTTAATATATGAAGCGATTTAAACAAAGAATTTAGTACCTGTATTAGTGAGGTTTTTAATTTCTAGTTTTCTATGACTGTGTGTGTGTGTGTGTGTGTGTGTGTGTGTGTGTGTGTGTACAGTTACCCACACTTTCACCCGTTACAGTTAATCCTCTTTGATGTGTGAACTCGTGAGCTCCTCGGAATCATTCTTCTACACTCCCCGGGTTCACACATCATAGAGAGAGATGATTGGCAATGTTAACAGTACCAGGTGGAAATGTGGGCAACTGTACATATACATATTTACACATATGAAGGCAAGGCCCTCAACCATCTCTTCTAGTCAATATCTTGTCCCTAAACATTCCTTCTCGTGACGGATTCATGTGACTCTAAGATTTACAATTCCTAAATATTCCTTATTTTATTAGTGTGACTCAATATAAAATCCACAACCCCCAAAATATTTCTTCTCATAATTCGTGCAAGACTCGCGTGACTCAGACATTAACAGGGAAGCAAGCATTATACACGGTCTCCCTCAGGTGGCGCCAGGGTACAGTGTTTATGGTCAGAGACAGCTGGTGCAGGTCGAGTAGTGTCTCGACATCCAATTAAACACCAAAATTTATGATGAGAATCTAACTTGCAGGTGGATTACGTTATTACAAGTGAAGTCTTGAAGGTAACTGATGCTCACATGTTGATTATATTATTGCAGTGGTATTGAATGAGGAGTTTGTTGCATTAAAGTTGACTAATTTACTGATTTATGAAGACTACACCTCATGTATACTGCTTAAATTATTACAATGGTGTATATATATTATGTTGCACACAGGTTGATTACATTATTGCAAAGAAATTGAGGATTTTATTGGAAACTTAAATTCAAAATGATTCTATTATAACATGGTTAATAAAACATTGTACACGCGTTAATTACACTATTTCAAACGTAATTTAGATAATATGTGAAAGTAGGTCCCAAGACTGCCCTTTAGGGCCAGTGTGGATGCAGCAGACTGTGTAATAAACCTTTGGTAAGCAAGAAGACTATGTTGCCGGTATTGCACTCGACACACCTTCGCTTCCCAAAACTGTTACATTAGGTACCTTTAAATTGAACGAGTGATCCTTAGGACGGGAGTTGAGCGTTGTATCCACTCGGCCACCTCCTCCCTAAGCATATAATCTAAGCTAGAGATGTTGTATTAATGCTCAGGAATGTATTTAAGCGACAAACGTAAACTAGATGGATACTTGAGGCCTTATCGTGGAAGGGAACACCAGGCCGGAACATTTGTTACAGCAGTAGGTATAAAAGACTTTAAAACTGAATGAAAGAAGAGTCACTGTTTTGACCTTGGCGCTGTTGTGATGGAGAATGGTGGTATTGGGTGAAAGGGACCAAATATTACACAGAGCCTGATTACATTATTGCGACTCTAATCTATGATGAATATGTTACATACAACTTGATTACATTATTACAAGTGCAATCTATAATTAAAATATTGCACGCAAAGTAATTACATTATTGCAATAACATTCACTAATAAAACACTACATGCACCTTAATTACATTATCAATAGTGCAATCTATGATGAAAATTTTACACAACCACCTGATTACATTATTGCAATAGAAATTAATGGTGGATATGTTGCATACAACTTGATTACATTATTAAAATTGTAACAACTGCAATTCATTCGGGTTCTCTATCATCGTGATCTGCATATATGTTGACTTTGTGTATAACATGTGGCCTCGTCATCAGTTCACTTCACTAATTTACATAAATGATGAGGTTTTTCGTGTGTAAGCTTAACAAAACTATTCCCGAGTGGATGTATAACGGTGGGGAGGACAGGAGACGTGCTATTCAATGGCCCACAAAAGTCCTGTCGCCTCTCCTCCTGAACCACGAACCCCAAGATTCAGACTCATGAATCCGAAGCATTTATGGACAAAATACTGCATCAGTATCTATTGCTTTAGGTTCACGAGTCTGAATCTCGGGGTTCGTGGTTCAGGAGGAGAGGCGACAGGAGTTTTGTGGGTGACTGTACATTCAACATCATATTTTACTCTCTACCCCGAACAGATTTGCATTTTATGTATTAAAACAAACAATTTAGCAAAATGTCTCTAAAAATAAACACAAACCATTAGGGTGTAGCATAAAAAACCTTTACCAATGTATATATATATATAATCATCCTTGACGAGAACTTATCCATTACCAGTAAAAAAAATATTATTACAGCGTACTAAGAATAATTTTCAAGATTTCAAATCCCCCTTAACTACCCGCGTCACCTCATTTGCATATCATAATTATCAAACCATTCTGAACCGTATGTAGTTCTAGCATTGTGAAAGGACTCAGGAATATGTAGAAGAAATGATGAAGTCTTACACTAATAAATTCTCACAATTTTGCATCTAGATGTCAGGATGTACTCACAGTTTTAACCTCTGTGATAGACAGGCTTGGGACTCTGGTTAGCCCGACGGGTGGGAGGGGGAGGGGGGGTGTTGTGTACATGTGGGGTACTCTCGTTCATGGGGTGGACCAACTATGTCTTTTGATTTACGTACTATATAACATTGTAACTTCGTCTCGAACACTTTAAAAACCCTGAACCTTAAACCACACGAGAGAACTTAAAACACTTAGGCTTTAATACACGCTATTTACTTCTTGCCTTCTACTGGACCTGACCCACCGATGTACTTTGTCTCTCAGCTGACCAAAACACCCACCCGCTCACTCACATCAACACCCAGGTACTCCCCCAGCCACACCTCGCTCTGTTGCCTTGTATATTAACTTCACGCGCCGAGACTCAAGGAGACGTTAACGACAATAGATTAATGGATAATTTTACATATTTACCAATCAAATGACCCGACACTTCAATCATATTTATCAATAATAGTTAATGATAATTTATAACACAAAAACAACTAAATATAATAGACAAGAAAAAATGAAATAGAAGCTGGTTAAAATTCACCACCATGACTCAGGTCTTCAGGTGACAGGTATAAACAAACACACAATAATCTTCAACATATCTCGTCATGCGTGAGACTCTTGGCCCACTACAGTCCTTATTGCCTCAACTTGCTCCACCACTTGGGAAATATCGCATGTGCTTAAGTTGGTAGGGAGGGGGAGAGGGAGGGGCGATACTTTTCTTGATATTCCTCTCACATAGCGTAGTCTTCTCTTCTAGTCTACTCTCTCAAGTAATCTTTTTCTGTCTGGGAGAGTTACTCCTGTGTCTCTTAACTCTCAGATTTTATTTTTTATAATCGACAACTTAAGATAAAAGTGATAAAAAGTTGAAGGTAATTTAGTTTTCATGGGAATTATTTCAGGTGGTGAGGAAGGCGTGGAGGACGCTTCATCCTGGCCTCTAGCTGCTGCAGGAAGTGTGGTGGTGCATGTGTGACCTCCAGAAACTGGCCTCTTCTATCTGCTGTAGGAGGGCATTTAGGGTGGCGTGTGAGGTGTGAGCGTGGCCTCCAGAAGCTGGAGGGGAGCGTGGTGGCAGCGTGCAGCCCGACGCTTTAGTGTGGCCTCCACACCCTGACCTCTAGCTGCTACAGGAAGGCGTGGTGGCGTGCAGTCTGATCTTTGACTGTGTCCTCCAGACCCTGAGCTTTAGTTGCTGTAGGAGGGCGTGGTGACGTATGTGGCCTCCAGGTCCAGACCTCTAGTTGCTGTAGTGGGGCGTGGTGGCGTGTTTGACCTCCAGAACCGGGTCATTAGCAGGATGAGGTTGGATCTCTGGGCGGCTGTGGCTCTCCGCCTCCTGCTCTTCACAAGTCTCGCTGCTAAGAGTAAGTCCGGCAAACTGTACACTGATACAAGCACTGATAAGAGGGGGTCAATGTAGAGTCGCCGGCACTTACACCTGGTACAGTGACTGGTGCGTTTGGTGAGATGTGGCAACTCTGTCAGATGCTTATCTAATATCCTTAGTCTGGCTGCTATTGCGAGGTTCCTTAAGGCCATTCTTGGACTTTTAATACAATGTAAATAAACACAGAGATGCCACATTTCACAAAACACACCAGTCACTGTACCAGCCATAAATGCAGGCAAATGTACATGACCACCTTTAATTGAACACTGAGAAGCACAATTGATTTAAAGGTATGGATTTTTTTTTTGCTTATATAAATATCAGTTTCTATGTTAAGCAAATGTTCAGTTTAATTCTGCCATTTTTCATTCTATATTTTTAGACTCAATCTTCACACTCTACGTTATATTATATCATATAATACAAATCCTTCCACTACCATACATGTGTTATGGGCATCTCTCACCACCTCTCACTCACTATCTCTCACTATCTCTCACCATCTCTCACTCACCATCTCTCACTCACCATCTCTCACCATCTCTCTCTCACCATCTCTCACCCGCAGGTTGTACACTAAGGGTGTCAGGAGTGTTAGTACCGCCTGTAGTAGTGTCGGGAACAACGGTTGAGTTAGAGTGTAATTATCACCACAGCCTCGACAGACCCGACCCGCTCTACTCGGTCAAGTGGTACCGGGACGTGAACCAGTTTTACGAGTACATCCCCAAGAGGAAGCCTCCCATAAGGGTGTTCCCGGTACCTCACATTAATGTTGACGTGAGTATTGTGTGTACCGTGTATTGTGTGTACCATGTATTGTGTGTACCATGTATTGTGTGTACCATGTATTGTGTGTACCATGTATTGTGTGTACCATGTATTATGCGTACCATCAAACATATACCATGAACCATTTATTACAAATTATGAGTCATGAGTCGTGAGTGCAGCAAGGAATTAATAAGCTAATTTATCTGCCGCAGGAGAGCCACAGCACGCGGGAGAAGGTGCGGCTGACGGGGGTGACGAGGGAGACCTCTGGCAGCTTCAGGTGTGAGGTGATGGGCGACAAACCTTTCTTCGAGACGGACGACCATACTGTAAACATGACGGTGGTGGGTAAGTTGACGGTGAGGGAGAGAGAGAGAGAGAGAGAGAGAGAGAGAGAGAGAGAGAGAGAGAGAGAGACAGAGAGAGAGAGAGAGAGACAGAGAGAGAGAGAGACAGAGAGAGAGAGAGAGTGTGTTTTAGGGAATATTTCAAGGGATCAGTTTTGGTTCAATATTATTTGTTGACACTAATAAACCTAACCTAATTAACACTAACTTTACTTAACATTAACCTCACTTAAACTAACCTAATCTAACAATAATACTGGCTTCATATTAGGGGACTCGAAACTCTAGACTTTCCAAACAAGACAGAACCGAACCAATGAACCCAAGATATGAAAGAGTTGTCTGGCATTTTCATATGAATTCGAATCCTTATCATAAGAGCACAATTGACTCACTTTGCATTCTTCTCTTTCCTTTCCCACCCTTCTACGCCTTCTTTCCCTCCCTTCCCCTTCTTTCCCTCCCTTTACACTCCCTTTTCTCCCATTACCTCCCTTTCCCTTCCCATTCTTTCCCTCCCCTTACCCTCCTTCTCCTTTTTTCCCTTCCCTTATCCTTCTTTCCCTCCGTTTATCCCCTCTCCCCCTTCCCTTCTTTCCCTACCCTTCCCCTTCCTTCCCCTCCCTTCCCTCCTTATCCTTCTTTCTTCCTCCTTACTCTCCTCCCCCTCCCCTCCCCTTCTTTCCCTCCGTTTATCCCCTCTCCCCCTTCCCTTCTTTCCCTACCCTTCCCCTTCCTTCCCCTCCCTTCCCTTCTCTCCCTCTCCTTCCCCTCCCATCCCTCCCTTCTCACCCTTCCCCTCCAGACGTGCCGTTGTGGGGACCAGAGGTGTGGGGTGTGGCCCAGGGAGACAAGGTCCGGCCCGGGGAACATCTGGTGGCCCGCTGTCAGGTTGGTGACTCTGACCCCCCGGCGGAGATCAGCTGGACCGTCAACTCAGAGGCGGCGCCCACCTTCGCCCACCTGCTTCGCTCCCTCGGGCGGGACCAGAGAGGAAGACCACTACAAGTCTCCGTAAGTCATGTTCGTTGTCTCTGTTAAGTCAATAAGTCATCCAAGTCTCTCTATAAGTCATGACTGATTGTCAAAGTATGTAAGTCTCTCTTATTCTCTTATTGGTGCCTCAGTCACGTCTCTTTAAATGTCTTTCTCTATTTTAATATTTATTTTTTACTTTTTCCTTCTTCCCACCTACTTTCACCTCTTTCTTTTCGCCTTTTGAAAATTTTTTTCTTTATTTCCCCCACCTCCCCCCCCTCTCTCTCTCTCTCTCCCTCGGATGACATGAGTAACACACCGTACAGTTACTCACTCGCAAGTCTACGGACTTAGCGCACCCACATTCAACCACCTCCTCCTGTCACAGTCGATGTGGGAGGTAGACTATGTTACTCACCTCCTTCCCGTCACAGGAGCTGCGGGTGACGGTGACGGAGGAGTGGCTGGCTCGAGGGGCCGTGACGCTGGGCTGTCAGGTGACGGTGTCCTCAGTCTACCACAAGTCAGTCAACGTGACGCTCTTCGACGCTGACTGGCCACAACCAGCTGAGTTTGGCTGGTTCTCCTCAGGTGAGTCAACCTTCTGCTCACCTCGAACTCACCTGCCGCTTATAGGGTCACCTGGATGTTACCTGCCTCTTAATGAGATATTTACTTGTGGTCCCTGGTCACCATGGATTCAAAAGGAGCCATAACCTTACCATATGTGGAAAGAAAAATAATGCCCACAGTACTCATCATCCATAGATTAAGTTTCATTGAAAGTTGTTTATATTTGTTCAAGTTAACGCTTTTACAACATACCCGAGCGGAAGGACGCACACACACACACACACACACACACACACACACACACACACACACACACACACACACACACACACACACATACGCACACACACACACACACACACACACACACACACACACACACACACACACACACACACACACACACACACACACACACACACACACACACACACACACACGTCATTAGTTATTACATCACCATTTTTCAATTATCTAAAAAACTATTTAATTTTCCGAGTAAACATTGACTTATATATATATAATCGTCTTCTCTTCTCATTGCTCTTGACCTCCAACCCTTGTTCTCCTTCGTTGCACTGGGAGACGTTGACATAATACACCGGGAACACACTTTCGGTTGCATGAGTTCTGACACTTGATTCTGGTAGATTTGAGGTCACAAATTCTGAAAATGGCATTTGTTTGTGCAGATCAGGTCTAGTTTGACTTAGTTCGAGATCTGGCCTGCTCCAAAAGCTGCCAGAATTGTTACTTCACGATTAAATACAAAACTTGAAAATAGACACAAAGGCAACATCTTTCAGCAAATAGAAAAAGAACCCTTACAGTTCTGATTCTAAATTTGACTTTCATTCACTGTTGCAATATTACTGATTAGTCACCGCGATGGGAGCTCCAGGTTATGATCCGAAAAGTGGCGCTTTTATAGATAGCCTAATTGAGTCTGAAGCGTGTTTTATTACATAGGGCAAACACCTTTGGCGCAATACCCATAGTGATAATCCAGTACACCTGAAAGAAAAAATACGAAACACATCAAACGGCTTTTGGAGCTACCAAATAAGAAGAACACAAATGATCATCTGTATTGATCTAAAATGGTCAATTTTTGCCATACAGCAGCAGGGCAAATTTCTATATCTGCTCTGGGACAGCAGAGCCAAAGACAGACACTATCTCAAGAATGAATGCCAGTTAGGAAAGCCCCCAATGGGGAAAAAAACATCATTTAGAACCCCAGTGAACGTGAAAAAACTCTATTTCCGCCCCTTCACACCGTTGGGCCTTACGAAACAGTTTGTCGGAAGCTCGATACTAGAAAGTGACTGCCAAGTATCAGGAAGTGTTCCCTGTTTACCAGAAAACCCAAGCAGGTATTTTCGACGGCCCTCAAATTAGGATTGATTAAAGACCAAGCCTCACCAATCCATGACGATGTAGAGAAACATGGCGACACTTTCCTCTTGTATGAAACTCTTAAAACAGGAACCAGAGGACTATAAAGCCCGCTGAATCTTTGATAAGTTTCATGTAAGAAGTTGCAACACATATACAGATGCATTTCCAACAGTCATCTTGAACTGTTTTGCAAACTTGGGGGACGTGGGAGGATGAGTAAGTAACGTCACCAGGATATCAAAAGCCATGGAAGACAGGTATCAAGGTTATGACAGTCCAATAACGCAAGTTTGTGCCTGAATAAATCTATATAGTCTGCTAAAGCAAATTGATGAATCCAAAATATGCTTGCTGGATAAATAAAAGTAATTAAAATTAATTTACGGTTTGGTAATCTCCGTGTGTGCTGGTTTAGATTTTTTAGCAGTAGTATATGTAGTTCAACTATATATAGTAGTAAATGGTAGTAACTCATCAACAAAAACTATACCCTCATAGAAAAAAAAACTGGTGCCATATTTGGAAATCAGTGACCCTAATTTACCCAGAAACAGGTTTCAAAAATGTATGCAACTGACAAAAAGTTTAATTTTGTTCCCTAGTGTTATCAGTCCGTCTGTCCGTCCGTCAGGGTATGCTATAAGGTTGACAATCTTGCGACAATAGAAAGCGAACTGATGAAACTTAGCCAGATGTAAATCTCCAAGAACGCTGAAGAGTTAAAGTCTCAGTTTGTCCTGTGGTGACAGAGAGAACTTCAAACTTCCCAGGTAAATCTCTGATTTTCTCCTTATTTTATCATCCGTTTTCAATGGCTATCTCTCATCTAGTCATATATTACCTCTGTCTCATAGTATTCAAGACCTTTTCTCCCTTCACCATACACAATATATATCTTCTCCTTTGGCTATCCATCTCTATCCCTCATCCTTTCTTCCTTAACCTCTTCTTAACTTTCTCACAACTTTCTTCTTCTCACTTTAACTGATTTTTCTCCTTTACAAAACTTCCCTGATTTAACTTCTTCTCTCATTTGCTTTTCGTACAAGGTAGAAAATTTTGTTTAGAGAACTACCAAGAGTATTTTATTCAGTCAAAAAATCATCTCTACTTCTGGGGTGAGTGATGAGTCCAGAATGAACACTGCGAATCCTGTTGTCCCGGTAGGGTTGTTGTCAAAATCCTTCCAGCCGTTGTGTCACATTTTTCAAATGTAAATTTTGCTTAGATAGTTATTTTGGAGTGACTGTAACGGTGCTATTGTTTCTTCTTCACCTGCAATTATTTTATGATAGGATTTATTTTATCAGATATTCCATTTTTTTATGAGGTTGAACACGTTTCTTTTGTTTTTGTTTTGTAAGGCCAGTTTGTGTGTTTTGTTTTCTCGTAACGTGCAAATACTTGTATAAAGTATCAAGATGTGATGTCTTGTGTGTTGTGTCACAGTGTTGTCCCTCAAAGGCCTCCTCAAAGTCGTGTTTGATCGTGAGTGTCATTCCGTCATCGTCCAATAAACAGACATTATCACCCAACCTGATCGGACGGGACCAGCTGCCACACGACGGTCCGTCCCACCAGCCCTCTATCATTAACGACAACCCGACGAGTGTTTTCGTGTTTATAAATGTGATGGGTTTGAAACTATCCGTCAAGACTTTCGTTTATATCTTGGCTCACCTTCGATAATCCTTCTGAACGAGTGAAACGATTGATTTATCTTTTAAGCGTCGTAGGATTATGGCATATATTTTTAAATGTTCGTGGATAGCACGCCTGGAATTAACTGAACACATATGAGAAGATGCTAAGAACAATAATAAACAAGAGACCTACCAAGCCCCACAACCACCTGACGAGGCTGATGACGCAAGGAAACCCAAAATGATTGCAAGTGTTCCTCCAGCAGCGCCTCCTCTGCGCTCCAGCATTCCTTTCAAAGCGAAATGATTGGAAAACACACACCTTCAAAAACTCCCCATGGTGCAATTAGCTATAATTGCATGAGTTCGTTTTGCCGGTTCATTAGGGAGATAATTACAGCTGAGGGAGGGAGGAAGGAGGAGGAGGTGAGGGATGGAGGGAAGGAGGGGAGGTGAGGCACACGGCGCATAATGGTGCACGACCCGGATAAAACTCTGGATTATTGCAGAGCATATAAAACAGCAGGTTACAGGTCGTGGAAGCCGCTGTCCTGCTTCACCTCACCCAGTGAGACCCACGGACTGGCTTGTCACAGTCCGAGCACACCAGTCCCATTCCTAATAGGCCCAGCAACAATAGGGCCTCAGTACTAATAGGTCCCAGCAACAATAGGCCCCAGTACTAATAGCCCTAGTAACAATAAGCCAAAGCACCAGAGGTCTCTGGAAAATAACAGGCCCCAAGTCCCACAGGCTCTGCAACAACAGGCCCCCAGTACTTTAATAGGTCTCTAGTAAATATTAGGCTCCTGAAAATCACTTGAAGAAAAATTTAGTAACAATAGGCCCTTGGCACACAGTTCCTCAGCAACACAGGCCCTGGCTGGCCAATAGGTCCCAGGTCAACAGGGGCCCCTCAGTACTACAGGGCCTTGTAACAATAGGCCCCAGTACTAATAGGTCTCAGTAACACAGGCTCCTTGAGTACTAATAGGGCTCCCCAGGCCCACAGGCCCCATTACTACTACACAGGTCCCAGTAACAATAGGCCCCAGTACTAATAGGCCCTCAGTGCAACACAGGCCCCAGTACTACAGGTCCCACACAGGCCCCATTACCACAGGCCCCAGTAAATAATAGGCCCTCAGTACTACAGGTCCCAGTAGCAATAGGCCCCAGCACCACAGGCCCCCAGCACACAGGCTGGCCCAGCACTATTAGGCCCCAGCAACAACAGGGCCCCAGCCACAGTCCCAGCAATACAGAGGGCCCCAGCACCACAGGGCCCCAGTAACAACAGGCCCCAGCAGTACCACAGGTCCCAGCAACAGTGCCCCAGCACTACAGGGCCCCAGCAACACAGTCTCAGTACTAATAGGTCCCAGCAACACACAGGGCCCAGCACTAATAGGCCCCCAGGCCACCAGGCCCCATTACTTGGCCAGGTCCCAGTAATAACAGGCCCCAGTACTAATAGGCCCAGTAACAACAGGCCCTAAAAGTACTAATAGGTCCCCAGTAAATAATAGTCTCTCAGTACCAATGTCCCCAGGAATAACAGGGCCCCAGTACCAATAGGACCTAGTATTAATAAGTCAGCAATCAGGTGGCTCCTGCACCATGAAACTTCCAAGTCCTGTTAGTTCTAGATCAATTATCAGTAAAATTCACTTTAGTTTCAGTAACTCGCCACCTGTTCCCCTTGCTTACTGAGGAAGGAAAACGATCATCTGAGGTCAACTGGTCAACATAGTCTCATTGTTTAAGATAAGATCATTGATAATTCTTAAATAAATTAAAAGTCCCCAAGTGAATACCGTTCTTAAATTTGCATCTAAACATATCTGAAGAAGAATTAAATAAAAAAAAGGGGGGAGAGATTTTTACAATTATTACGACACAGTTTTAACAATTCATAATAAATCTCGTCAGAAAAAATTAAAAAGTTCTTTCAGAGATTTGATTCACATTAGGGCGTCTCTCACGGTCTGTGGTCACCCTGTAAACCCTCGCCAGGAACTGAGAGAACTTCCACAAGTTGATGAAGGAAGCTCTCTCTCTCTCATAGTTAAAATAAACAGCGTTTTTCTGTATCGTACCCTTGGTGATGTGTGTGTGTGTGTGTGTGTGTGTGTGTGTGTGTGTGTGTGTGTGTGTGTGTGTGTGACAGACATACAGCTGACTCACACACATACGGCTGACGGTCATATTGTTGGAGTGTTAATTGAACTTTTTGTGTAGATAAAGAAGTGGGCGAGAACCTCACCTGTGACTCAGGTAAAACACCTTCGTCTACACACCTGTGAAGATGGTAATTAGTTCTCCGTCTTCTTCCTTCCTCAACAGGTTCATCCCCGCAGCTCTCCTTGTTCCTGTCGCTGTCACTGCTGCTACTACTGCTGCCTGCTGGGACGCTGTGACACCCCTGCTGTGACACGCCTGCTGTGACGCTGTGACACCCCTGCTGTGACGTTCTGACTCCTCCTGATACGTTTCTTCTGTTTACTGAGGCCCCGTATTGACGATCTTCCGTTGCTGTGACGCTCTGCTTTCCCACTTCTTCTTCTTCTTCTTCTTTTTCTTCTTTTACGTTTCTTGAGTCACACAATTCCCAGGATGAACAAGACGACCCTCAATTATGTTAATGTGTTTCAAAGAATTGTGTATATTGTGTATGTTTAGCTGTGAGATGAACCCAGATTATCATGGTTCCACCTGCGGTTCCCCGTTACCGTGCTCTTCCTGTAAAAAAAATAATGGGATTCATATCAACAATTTAACGAGACATGATGGAAAGAATATTTTTTTTTTTTGTAGTGTCGATGAAAATTATCTATATTGTCTCAGGATAATGTCGGGTTATTGTAAGGTTCTTCTGTGGTCTGTAGGGTCGTTGTGTATGGTCTATGAGGATATAACTCTTAGTTCCTGTTGCTCTACGTATACACCACACCATATGCTGGAGTTTCCCCACCAGACATATATTACAGATACGGAATATAGTCCTTGAACCTATAAATCCGAAACATAGATGGCGCACTGTGTAATGGTCTCGGATTCACAGGTTCATGAGACTCGGGGTTCATAGATGGGATAGAGGATTGACAGAACTTTATTACCGTGACTCTACAACACAAGAATTAAAACAGTGAAAGTAAACACAGTGAGTTAAACGCTGCAGGTTTGTGTTGACTGGTCAGGGCGACAGATATACAGTACTTGTTGATAAGTTTAGTTGTAAGTCTCATCCTTGTGTAATTATATGGAGTGAAAAGGGTAATTGTGAGTTCATCTTTATCTCGACTCTTCTCAAAGAATTAAGTCATCTCGTTCATCTCTCAATTAGTCCAGCGTCGACGTGAAGAGACCAAAGAGATAGAGGTTGAGTATAATGTGTGTGTGTAATATAGCTTAATGTGTATGAAATATTAAAAAAAATGAATCACTGAAATTATCATCTTTCGTTTGGTTTATGTAAGTGGATAAGATAATTATATAATATAAGGATAATATATTTACGGTTATAATAAGTGTTTTTAGATGATTTAGAATATAAAAAATAAGTTATTAAGATTCTTGTGGTTTTGTTCTTAATTTTTGACGAAATTTTTGAAAATCTCGTGACAAGATGACCTCTTTTTTAACACACAAGCGAGGCAGTTAATGGTGGGCGACTTACCAGCAGCCCGAGGTAATCTGATGTACATTCACACCTGTTTTACCACAACTCTGGTAAGATAAGTAAAGACAGCGATTTCTGCCGTCAGTAAAATACGTGGGAATAAATTTTACAAATGACTGTTTATATTAACAGTTATTTCAGCGGTTAATGCTAATGACAGAATATTTACGTTAGTTTTTTATAAGTTTAAAAGAGGCGCGAGTAAACAATCCAAGCAGATGTATGGCACGAGATGCGTTCACTCCTATAAATGACGTGGTGGATGGTTGCCTAATGAGCGTAGACGTGTGCGTTGTAAAGTTGCAGACTCGGTCAAAATCAGGCTCTCTCTCTCTCTCTCTCTCTCTCTCTCTCTCTCTCTCTCCCCACAAGCTGCTGTATGGGGAAGGGAGGGAGAGGATGGGAACACACACAAGCTCTCTCGTGTGTTGGCTCCTGAGAAGCTTTACACCTTGCACTATTATGTAAATATCGTAAAAATCATAATCACTCGCTCAACTTCTTACCTCCGTCAGACGATCTAACACGAGTACAGGAGCTTGATGTTGTGTGTGTGATAAGTTGCCAGCTTACTCTCAGCCTGGGTGGGAGGTGGATCTTTTACACTCCTGAGAGAGCCTCTGTAATACTTGCGTTTCTTTAAAGTCATCACCGCGAACCACAATCATATAGCAGGATAATGTGTTTCATCTGACCATCTCTGGTCTGAGGGCGGGAGTTCCCTGACGAATAAATCCCGGTTGTAGACAATTTGTGGCTGAATATTACTGTAGGTCTCGGGCCTCTGGCATTACTGTGTAATGTTGGGGGGATGAAATCATAAATTTTATAACATGATATATATTTAATTTCGGCCCCAACGGCCACTTACCAGCGGCGGGAACCGTTGTTGAGTGTTGCTGTGGTCGGTCCCATCTTGTGGCCATATGTTGTGGCCATGTGTTGTTTCCATATGATATGGCCACGTTGTGGCTCTATGTTGTAAGCATGTGATATGACCCCGTTCTATGGCCATGGGGTGTGACCATGTACACATACGGCCCTGTGTTGTGACCGTGTGCACACGCAACCCTGTGTTGGGGCCTTGGTATAACGTCATTATGCTCTGGCCATGACTACAACCGGCTCTGTGACGTCATGTGTGCACATGAACCCACGTTATGGCCATTTGTACTTATGGCCTTTTGTCGTGGTCATGTTCACACAGGGCCCCATGTTATTACCATGTGTGTACAAATACACAAATTACACATAAGCATATTGAAACACAACAAGAAAACACACACACACACACACACACAAGGTCCCACAAGTGTACATAACAACATGTGTCTTCCTTCCTCTAACAGATGTAAGGTGATGTAACATTACCAATAAACATATCCTTATATGTGTCCCTGTGTATTACTGCCCACCTGTGTATTACTGCCCACCTGTGTATTACTGCCCACCTGTGTATTACTGCCCACCTGTGTATTACTGCTCACCTGTGTACACCTGGGAGAGTAAGAGCTGATGTAAGGACGGGTCAGCCAATATTCTGTGTACAAACTTCCGTCCTTGTGAGCTGCTCTTCCTCAACAAGCCAAACAACCCTCACGCTTGTTACACCTTGATCTCTGCTCCCCTGCCGGTGTTTAGCCGTAAATAAAGAGCATCGGCTGGTTTACCCGTCAGTCTCTACCAGAATTTCGCATCGCCCAGAGGCCAGACGTTTGGAGCCCTAACAGTGGTCCCTTGTGGCCCTGAGCAGCCAACTGAGTATTACCAAAGATCTCTACAAAACCTTAAGTATTGTTCAGTGGTTAGGGTTATTATTTCTACTCTGGGATCAACTTAATTATGTTGGGCCTTAATCCCATGTGGCGTTTGTGTTGTGTTGTGTTTGTTGTGTTGTGTTGTGTTGTGTTGTGTTGTGTTGTGTTGTGTTGTGTGTGTTGTGTTGTGTTGTGTTGTGTTGTGTTGTGTTTGTGTTGTGTTGTGTTGTGATGTGTTGTGTTTGTTGTGTATGATGTGTTTGTAGTGATGTGTTGTGTTGTGTTGTGTTGTGTTGTGTTGTGTGTATGATGTGTTTGTAGTGATGTGTTGTGTTGTGTTGTGTTGTGTTGTGTTGTGTTGTGTTTGTTGTGGTATGATGTGTTTGTAGTGATGTGTTGTGTTGTGTTGTGTTTGTTGTGTTATGTTTGTTGTGTTTGTGTTGTGTTGTGATGTGTGTTTGTTGTGGTATGATGTGTTTGTAGTGATGTGTTGTGTTGTGTTGTGTTGTGTTGTGTTTGTTGTGGTATGATGTGTTTGTAGTGATGTGTTGTGTTGTGTTGTGTTGTGTTGTGTTGTGTTGTGTTTGTTGTGTTGTGTTTGTTGTGTTGTGTTGTGTTGTGTTGTGTGTGTTGTGTTGTGTTTGTTGTGTTGTGTTGTGTTATGTTGTGTTGCGTTGTGTTTAATGTTGAGTTTTGGCCTCAATTCTATGTCGGCGTGTTATACCTATGTCCTTGTCTCTCTCTTACTGTTAGTTAATTAAAATGTTAGATACATAAACATTCTTGGTTTATGGTTTGTTAGTTTATGTCTAAGTTTATTGAGTTAATAATAAGTACACACTGTTCTGACACTCACCAGACCACAAGAAGTAACTGTCGATCTAAAACTACCTCATTCGATAATACTGCTCACATCGCTACTTAACTAATTACATTTAAACGAAAACACAAAAAACTGGCAAGACAAAGTAGGCCAAGGGAGGTCAAGGCAGGCCAAGGCAGGTCAAGGGAGGTTAAGGCAGGTCCTAGCTAGCCCACTTCTCAACACTGACTGGAAACACTGAACCACCTCAAGATTCATGAAACAACAGACTCAAAGGAAATGAAAATATTTATCTACGAGGTGTAATTCCTCCACGAGAAGAGAGAGAGAGAGAGAGAGAGAGAGAGAGAGACTTGAAAATACACAGAGAGAAAGAGAGAATCCAACGAATAAAAAAATTGAGAGACATAAACAGAGAGAGAGAAAGAGAGAGAGAGAGAGAAAAGGAAGAGATGAGGAGATACAGAGAGAAAAATAAATAAGTATAGGAATAAAAGTGAGATAAACATAAAATGAAAGAAGTTGGGAGAGAAAGAAGAGAGAGAGAGAGAGAGACACACATATACAGTGACAGAGAGACAGACAGACACACACACACACACACATACATACATAATTTTCACATAAAAAGTAAAAATAAAGATAAAAATGAAAGAAATGAAGTAAATGAAAGAAGAAAATTATAATAAAATGAAGAGAAATATGAAGGGAAAAAAATTAGAATAAGTAGGAGTTAAATGAAGTTCCTTTGTCTCATCAAGAACCACAGATGGATGAAGCGTTGCTGGGTTTTCTTACTCTGAAAATAAATATTGTCTTATATTTTCATTTCTTTCACTCCTGTTCGTTATTTTTGGCTTCGTTTTACCTATTGACTTTTTTTTATTGGTGTTATTGTCGTTTTTGTTATTAGCTTAGGGTCCACTAGAGTTACCCAGGGCCCACTAGAGTTACCCAGGGCCCACTAGAGTTACCCAAGGCCCACTAGAGTTACCCAGGGCCCACTACAGTTTCCCAGCGCTCACCATCGTTACCCAGGGCCCACTAGAGTTACCCAGAGCCCACCATCGTTGCCCAGCGCTCACCATCGTTACCCAGGGCCCACCACCACTATCCACGGCCCATCAGAGGTACCCAGGGCCCACCACTATTACCCAGGGCCTACCACCATTACCCAGGGCCCACCAGAGTTACCCAGGGCCAACCAGAAGTAGCCAGGGCCCACCACTATTACCCAAGGCCTACAACCGTTACCCAGGGCCCATCAGAATACCCTAAGGGCCTGCCAGCTCCACCTCCAGCTGTGGCCCGACAACTAATGCAGAGCTACGAGCTGTGACCTTACCGGGTGGGTTTAATAGCTGGCCAGAGAAGCAACTAATGGGTCCTCTGATATTCATGCCAGAGTCCTACCAAAACTTAATGGGTTCAACGTCTCTTGATGAAATATTGATTTGCTTAGGATCGATATCACGATAATTAACATATAAATTAGTGTCGGAAATTGTTCCTCATTAGCCAACCAACCTAACGTCCTGGCAACCCTAGTCTCCTCCTACCTACCTCCTCCTCCTCCTCCTCCCTCTCTCCTTCCTTACCCTAAGTCCACACCACCACACCACCAAAACCAAACCCAAATTCCCTTCAAACCTCCGAACCCACCACCTCCCCACATGATAATGACTACCACGACCCTTCCCCCTCTTACCCCCATACTGCCCCTCCCCATCCCTTCTCCCCCTCCCCACCCCTTCTCTCTCTCTCTCCCCCTCCTACTCCCTACTCCCCATCCCCTCTTCTCTCCCCATCTCCTTTCTCCCTCCTACCTCCCACGACACACCAGTAAGAGACAGGGACTTGAAGACATAATTCACGGGGTTAATTTCTTCAGCCTGTACGACTATTACACTTTGGGAGCTTCATATTGCCCCTCACAGCTGGAGTCGTAACATGTAGGAGTTAAATGAAAGGAGGAAGAGGAGGAGGAGGAGACGAGAGGGGGAGGAGGAGGAGGAGGGAGAGGGAGAGGAGATGAGAGGGAGATTAGAGGAGCTGAAGAATAAGGTTAGAACAGGTTAGGTTAGGTTATAATTTTTATTCATTCAATTCAATTATCTTTCATAGGCCTTATAACTCTCTCTCTCTCTCTCTCTCTCTCTCTCTCTCTCTCTCTTTCACACACACACACACACACTGGCCATGGCCCCCCTTCACACCTGGGAGGGCCAAGTTTTATGTTCATTACTTAATGCACATCCGCAATGGCCACCAGAGGAGTGATTTAAAGGGTCATTTAAGTCCATGAGGCAGTGACGGTGTACCTATGTTACCGCCAAGTCTCGCCCTTAAATACTTTGTCATTTGTGGAACATGAACCAAAGAGGAAACACGAAGACATTATCATCCATAACCTCACGATGTTGGTCAGAAGGTGCCAGTCTGTGGGATCAAGGGTGGTACTATATACTGTGTGTGTGTGTGTGTGTCTGTGTGTGTGTGTCTGTGTGTGTGTGTGTGTGTGTGTGTGTGTGTGTGTACGAGATTCTTGGGTAGTGGCACGAATTCATTATCAAAAGGCGTTAAGGTCCATGGACATGTTACACAATACTGAACTATCGTACATGTGAGACAGGGATTAGTAGCTGCCTGCCATACACTGACGGTAAGCTTATTCTGGCCTTTTGCAAGACACCAACCTTGTATTGTTCGTGCCGAGTGATATGGGATGGGCCCAAGTGCAAGATGTTTCTACGCCAGACTCACGGAGTTGATCTCAGAACAGAAGCAGCAGCCCAGAAGTTATGTTACAGCCTGGATGAGATGTCGACTGTCCTTCTCTCTCCTTCGGTCGGCTTTGCTCTGCCTCAGGGGAACGAGAGCTTCTGCCCCTACTCTGACAACTGCTGCAGATATTGACTATGATGCTACAGTCACTGAATGCCGCATAGATCTGCGGCTCAACTAATTTAACACAGATAGGATAGCTTCTTATGTATTAGGATATTTAATATTAAGGTAAATAAATGGTGGCGAAGGTGTGGCTATTGGGGGAGGCTGGAGGCCACTTTTTTTCTTTTTTTTTGTAGTAGTAGTAGTAGTAGTAGTAGTAGTATTTAATTTGAAGGTAATAAAATGGCGGCGAAGGTGTGGCTATTTGGGGGACTCTGGAGGCCACGTTGTAAGTAAAAAAAGTAGTAGTAGTAGTAGTAGTAGTAGTAGTAGTAGTAGTAGTAGTAGTAGTAGTAGTAGTAGTAGTAGTAGTAGAAATTGTCAAGTGGTCGCCCGCTAACTTATTTGAACCACCCAAGTGTGCGGCCACCAAAGAAATGATTCGGGAGATGACTCACTTCATGACTGATTACACTCAGGACCGCTTCCTCGCCCCCCTAGCTCTTCAAATACTGGCAATAATACCACATCTATTTTGTCAGAGGACACACACAAAGGCTAAGCACAAAGAAAATGTGGCAGCAATGAAGAGAAGATTGACAATGTGGCAGACTGGGGCCCTAGATGATCTCCTATGTGAAGCAAGAACACTACAGGAGAGACTAAAATCTACGGGTGATGGAAAGCAAAACACCGATGACGTGGCAAGAAAATTTGGAAACAAAATGCGTGTGGGAAAAGTGTCTCTCGCGGTAAGATCTCTCACACAGGAATCCTCCGGTGGGGTGATGCCAATAAACAGAGAGACATTAAAACTATTGAAAGAGAAACATCCCCCTGCAAGCGAAGATGAAGGCATCAGGTTCCAGGGTGACTATATCCCACCAAATGCTGTCCTGTTCGAGAAAATAACAGGAGAGATGGT